GCTAGAGTTGAGACCAAGGAGATTGAAAAAGTTGAGAAGTACCAGGAATTGAAGCAGGAAATTATAAGATTGTGGGGAATGAAGAAAGTGGAAGTGATACCGATAGTTGTTGGAGCATTGGGAGTGGTGTGAATGTGGATTAGTGAATGGATCATTAGAGGAGATGTAAAGTTAAAGATCGAACATTTACAGAAAACAGCAATATTGGGGACTGCAAGAATCTTAAGGAGACATTTAAGCATGTGATTTATATCATAGTTTATTAGTTATAGACTGATATTGTACATATACCAACTTAACTCTTTGGTGGACAGGGTTAAAAATTGATCAATTATTCCCGTGGGCAGGTCATTTAGATAAAAATTAGCCAAAAAATAAGGTTTTTACTTTTCTTATTGTAAAGGTACCAAACAATGTCAATATGGGGATGTGTTGCCATGGTGGTACTTTTGAACAATAAAGTGCACCTTTGCAAGTTCAAATAACCATTATCATGCAAATTGATAAAATCTATATACTCATAACAAGGATAGGTAATAATTTCAGATCATATCTCAGTTTTAATAAATATTACACACAAAAATACAAAGAAAAGTGACAGACATACGTGTAATGAGATACTGTGCAAAGATATGTAGCTGTAAATTATAAGCGCTTGTTGCTATAACACTTTTGCTTCATGTGTTATAGCAACGCTTTGTTGATTTTCAATTATTCCACTGAGGAAGAAAAATTTTCTTTCTCCAATTTGCAATCCTTAAAGAACTTTTCTATGGTACCAAGCAATTTCTACAGTCAAATTAAGGTTGTAGATCACTTTAGATCCTCTTTGTCTGTTGTGCAGTATTACGATGTTACAATGTCCATGACCTAAATGCTCAACGGCAACATAGAAAACGCAAGAACCGAAGAAAACTGAACTTACCAATCTGATTATTGAGGAAAATCTTATCTGTATACCAGTTTTTTTTGAAGAAGTAAAGCTCAGAAGATGGGAAAAAGACGAAGAAACTAATCTAACTAGGCATTGTTAGCCATATTATCACCATGCCTACACGAACTTTTACCACACCCATCAATGTAAGCAATGGGGAAAATGTGTTTCTTGACAGTATGGACTGCTTTTTTTTACTTTTCTCCATCCTTGGCTCTTAGGAGTACTCTGTAAGTTTGTATAAGCATTGTCATGTGTTTCTCTGCATTTCTATTCTCAAATCATTATGCTTGCATTACATGAAGTGTAGAATGGGAACATGCCACACCTCTTAGAGCATGCAGACACATGTTCATACAAGTAAATAGAAAATCTAATTCCATCTCAGTCTGTAACTTTTTATTCTCTCATTTTAGTGTTATGTGCTGAAAGATTTGCTCCATATTGAATGATAAGGAAGGAAACGACAGAGAGAAAAGAAGGCTGAAGGCTAT